AAGATTTCTTTTTAGTCTCCAGTCTGGTCAGGGCCATGGTCTCTACTCAATTTCTCATAGGTCTATACTGGGGGGCTGCTGCCACTGGGATTTGCCATCGTTGCTCTGTATGGCCAGACCCTCCTCCCACCAAGTAAGACTCCGTTCTCACCTCTCTAGAAGCAGGGATCTTGTGCTGGTCAGAGAGGGAAAATCCTCGTGCATCTGGCAGCAACCGACCACTGCAACATCTCTTCAGTCTCCTCCGCTCACATTCCACCTGCACATCAGACAGGAGAAAGGGTCACAGAAAGCTGTGACCAAACAAGGAGTGAAAGGACCTCTGGACATCACGGCAAGGAGATTTCTGCTCAGAGACTGTAACTGCACCAGAGAACAAACGAGGGCAAAAAGCACTCCAAGTAGGAAGAGGAAACAATTCCTGACACAAGAGTGACAAATGTGTGCACATGGGGACACTGGGGCAAGAAGGGACGGGAGAAGAGATCCACGGGGAACCTGCGACGTCCCTCTCAAAGCTCAAACTTCAGTCCTTGGCTGCCGCTGGAGCAGGAGTTCAGTCTAGCACGAAACCTCAGCCTACACAGATGGAATTGCTGAACCCTTTTCTCCCTGTTTTGCAGCAGGAACGGGGCAGACTGCAAGCAGCTAGAGAAACCAATATGGGAGAGAAAACTTCAGATTCGCAGGACAATGTGAACTAAGCTGTATTTCATGAACTCATGAAGAAATACAACAATCCAACGTGACAAGTAGGGCTCAGACTAGTCTGGGCAAAGGGGACTATTACATGAATTCACTTACCACTCCATCCATGAGGTTTCTTAGCGTCCAACTGGTAACATTTAAGTTGTGCACTTATAAGCGAAAAAAGAAAAACTAGTTCCCTAGTGAGAGTGCTCATCCTTCCTGCTCTGCCATGGTGCGGGTATCCCCTGTATCACACTGGGAGGCACAAAAGCCTCAGCTGAACTCAGCTGCTGTTGGATCTGCTTCAAAGGCTTTTTGGGTAGGCTGGTGTTTCATACCCTCCAGTTTGGAAGTCTGGTCTATCCATTTCCAAAAGTCAGCAGATTCTGACAATACTGCCAGACAAAGCTGGTGGCTGCAGGAGATGATGGCCACCGCATCATGGTCCCTCAGCCCTCGCTGGCCATCTGTGCTGCCAGCAGGCTGCTATTGCTTCAGCCTAAGGGCTCCCAGCATATGTCAGGCCTCGGCCTGAGCTGGCTTAGCCAAAATCTGAGTGGCAGTTGAGTGAAGAGTCACCCACGCTCCACACCTCGGTATGGTCAGACATCTTGCTTCAGCAAGTGGGGGTAGTTACTCCTCTTGCCTTGCTGGGGGTGAGCACAGGGGAAAGATTTGAACCCTTTTACTGAAGTCTGGCTTCACAGTTCATCATCAGAGAACAACTGATGGTGCATGCTTTCAACACAGTGAGATAAGCAAATAAACACAGATACACAAGAATACTAATAACAAAACTTCTAACACAATACAATATCATAAGGTGCATATGCAACTTGGAGATGGTGCATATTCCATAGCAATGTCATACTAGTGATGTCCAACAGTTTGTTTGATTTCTGTTGTGATTCTACAAATGTGGCCAGCATTGTGTTCAACAGAAATAGTTTTCGCTATTACCAGCCTTTTCATAGCTGGTAATTAAGGACTCTAGTTCTTCAATTTGAGAGTACACTGAGTGTATTAACAGGTACCTAGAGGAACCAGGAGATGAGATCCCAGCAAGAAAACATATGGGAGCTGGAGATGCAGCGAGAGATGCAGAGCACTGCTGTCAGCAAGATGAGCAAAGAGCTGGAGGAGAGGGACCAGGAGATCAAATTCCAGGAGGGGAAAATAATGATTCTAGAACAACACGGTGCATCACAAGTGAGAAATCTGCTTGTGGATCTGGATCATATGAAAGAAAATTTGAAGGACAAAACCATGGAGCTTATGTCTCTGACTCAGCAGATCCAAGAACTGGAAAAGGAGAGAGAAGAAGTGAAGTCTCTGGAAACAAGCCTTGAACACCTGAGGGCAGCTCTTAAGGACAGAGAGAGTGAGTGCCATGCTCAAAGGGATCAGTTAAGACTCTTGCAGCAGTACAAGGAACAGCAAGAGGGGCACCTGCAAGAGCTTCATGGTAAAGTAGAAAAGATGACACTTTCTTTATCTCAAAAAGAACAAGAGCTTGAGTCGCAACAGAAGCAAATCCAGGAAGCTGAAGAAGTCATGGAGATGCAGGTAAGGACTGTCCGTGACCAACTGGAGCAAGCCTTAGAGACCTTAAAAGAAAAGGACAGACTCATAGATATCCAAAAGCAACAAATACAGAACTGTGAGGAAAAAACAGAAGAACGGATGACTGCCTTACACAGAGACTTAGAATGCACTAAGGCAATACTGAAAGAAAAGGATTTCATGGTTGAATCTCAGAAGGAACTGATCGAGACCTTGCAAAAACAAGAACGAGACTCTGAACAGCAGAAGGAAATTCTGCAACATCTTCAAGTGACACTAAAGGAACAAGAGCAAGAAATTTTATCCCTTAGAAAGCAATGTGAGGCATGCAAGGAAAAGGAGAAAGAGCACGCAGCTGAGCAAAAAAAAATTCAAGCAACAAAACAGACTCTGAAAGAAGGAGAAAAAAAGATAGAGGCTCTGGAAGAGGCTGTCTCTAGGCTTCAACAGCAAAAGGAGGAGGCAGCGATGCAGACTAAAGCTATACTGCAAAAACTAGAACATGCTGAATCTTCTCTAGAAGCTAGAGACCAAGAGATAGAGTCTTTGCAAGAGCATGTCCAGGGCCTTCGAGAGCAGAGGGAGTTAGAAGGCAAGCAGGCCAAGAGTCTAGAGCAGGATCTAGACAGAATGAGCCAAAGAGTGAAGGAGAAGCACGTGGAGTTCCTCAGGCAGACGGAGCAAATGAACATGTTGCAGCTTCGTGAAGAAAGCATGAAAGTAGCGCTGGCATCGTGCCAGAAGCAAGTGAATCTGCTTGAGGAAGTGGTGCGGAAGAGAGGTGAAGAGAATGAAACTCTTAGGCAAAAACTCCAGTGCCAAGAAGAAGAACTGAAGACCCTGCAGAATCTCCATCTTAGGCTAACGGAGAAGAATGTGGAGGTTAGACATCGCAGAGAGCAAGAGAAGCTCCTGGAAGAAGCCTTGCCTGAGAGGGAGCGAGAGACCAAGGCTCACAGTGAGCAGAAAGAGTCAGAAGAGGAAATAAGAGCTCTTCAGGAGGATCTCCAGCACGTTCAGCAGACTCTGACAAAGAAGGATGAAGAGATCAAGTGCCAGAGAGACCGAGTCAGGTATTTAGAGAAGACTCTGATGGGGAGGGAACAAGAGCTTGGGAGGCAGAGTGAACTCCTGAAACAAATAACCTCAGCTTTGCGGTGGAAAGATGAAGGGGAGAGCCTAAAAAAACAAATCCAGAAACTCCAAAAATGGGAGGAAGAGGAAGCAGAGAAGAGGAAGATTCTCCAGGAGAGAGACCACCTCTTGCAAAGGCAGAAGGAGCTAACCCAGCAACTGAAGGATAAGTCTAAAGCAAAGGGGGAAGAACTGGAGCGTGTGATGTCTCTTTTGAAGCAGAGCGAAAGCAGAGAAATGGAATGGAAAGAGAAGGCACAAGCACTGACTCTTGCCCTTACCAAGAGTGAAACGGCCAGTGGGACTCTGAGGGAGGAAATAGCCATCCTGCAGAGTATGGTTTCAGAGAGGGACACAGACCGGTTTCATCATCAGGTAGGCAGTGGGATTGGTCATCCCTCAACTAAAATGTCTATGAGGGATTCTAAAGATGTTTCCCATAAAGATATGGGAATCTCTGTTCCCACAAATACATGACCTGCTTGGCCAGAGAAACCATGACTGCAGCCAGCAGGTTTGCCTGTCTGTATAGCTCCAGCCGGAGACCATTCACCTGCTAGAATGTTTTCTGTCAAGCCCAGAGCTACTGAAGGAACTATGGAGCTTGCTGTTAAAATTACCTCAGGTGCAAAAGCTGGGGATGGGTAACTGGTTCTCTCCTATCTGGGCAAGTGCTGCCAACATGTGGTTAGGGTTTGGCATGGAAAGGAAGGGGCACCAGTGACCAGAGTAATGTACTAAACGCAGTAGAATTGTATCACGATGGCTGAACAGCAGCTGCACTGGTGGTGCTTAGAGGCTGCTTTCAGAGACGTGGTTTTCTGAGGTACAGCTTTTCCAGTGTATTGAAAAGAATGGAATTTGTCCCATTGCCTGATCTGGTTAAAGGCTTCATTTTGCATCCAGGATGTACCTGTGCCACATTCCAGAAAGCATGAAGGTAAATTTGGGTGGATTTCTCCAAGGTGATATGGAGGAGGGCCCCTAGGAAGAGATTGTGTTGTCTTGGCCTGTGGACCAGGAGGAGAAGGGACTTAGCACTTGTCCATGCCTTGGGCCAGTCACTCTCCCCGACTTGTTGATTCTGGCCCTTCCAACCTTGATGTGGCACCAGCTCACATAATCCCCTCTCTGTACCCAGCAGGCTGCTGCAGAAGGGGAGCAGCTCTCATGGCTCTCGGAGAAGAGACTCCTGTCGCAGCAGCTGGAACATCAGCAGCAAGCAGTTGCAAGGCTGGAATTTGAGAAGACCGAGCTGAAGCAACTCATTGCTGAGCTCAGGAGGACTCTTGAGCAGGTAAAAACAGCTTTCACTGCCTCTGCAAAGCCTCATGGTCCTCTGGAACACAACACATTTCCACAGACAGCACTTTGGAGTCCTCTGCTTGTTTCCTTCCTGTTTTGCTAATGATTAGGCCTAGCATAAAGGACACGGCCAGCATAAAGATGAACCAATAACCAAATTGTATTTGATACAAAAGGGTCAGTACATGGGTGAGCGCTGGGGGTACAAACAAGTCAGATTGTACATAATTGACATCAATCCCACTGACCCCAATAACGACACCGCACGACCAACAATGGGTGGAATAAACGGTGACATGCAGTTTCCCATAGAAGGGACAGGAGACAACCGAGTCGACAAGCCAAATACATAAGACCAAGGAAGCCACACACTGAATCTCTACACAGCCCACGTTTGCAAAAGCCAGACCTGACTGGAGCCCAGTCCCAGGGAGGCGGGAGGTCCTTCCCCAACAGGGAACTCTGCACAGGGCATCCACCTCACAGACAGACACTGCCCCTGCCTGCAAGTGGTCCCAGCTTTTATCCCCAAGTGGGACACCTGACCTTGGGTTACTTACTGCAGACCCCTGGGGCTCCTTTACCCAATGGCTCTCCCTGCCAGGCCGGCCCACCCTGGAGGGAAGCGTAAAGGCAAACTCACCCCCCTTTGGGAAGGGCTGTGGGAATCACCCACGTCAACCTTAATTTGGGGCTTGGGGTTGAAACCCCAGCATTTCACTTCCCTCTCCCACTTTCCCTTGTGGATACACACTTTGGTATTTTCTTTCTCTTCTCCCACCCCACTGCCTTCACAAATGCACATTCATTCCAGTACCACCCTTCTTGCCCCAGTCTCCCCATGTGCACACATTTGTCACTCTTGTGTCAGGAATTGTTTCCTCTTCCTACTTGGAGTGCTTTTTGCCCTCGTTTGTTCTCTGGTGCAGTTACAGTCTCTGAGCAGAAATCTCCTTGCCGTGATGTCCAGAGGTCCTTTCACTCCTTGTTTGGTCACAGCTTTCTGTGACCCTTTCTCCTGTCTGATGTGCAGGTGGAATGTGAGCGGAGGAGACTGAAGAGATGTTGCAGTGGTCGGTTGCTGCCAGATGCACGAGGATTTTCCCTCTCTGACCAGCACAAGATCCCTGCTTCTAGAGAGGTGAGAACGGAGTCTTACTTGGTGGGAGGAGGGTCTGGCCATACAGAGCAACGATGGCAAATCCCAGTGGCAGCAGCCCCCCAGTATAGACCTATGAGAAATTGAGTAGAGACCATGGCCCTGACCAGACTGGAGACTAAAAAGAAATCTT